TCCGGTTTGGGATTCATCCAGTCCGGCCTTTCACATGATGTATTCTGCATATAAGTTAAATAAGCAGGGGGACAATATACAGCCTTGTCATACTCCTTTCCCAATTTTGAAGTAATCAGCTGTTCCATATCCAGTTCTAACTGTTGCTTCCTGTCCCACATATAGGTTTCTCAGGAGATGGATAAGGTAGTCAGGCACGCCCATTTCTTTAAGGACTTGCCATAGTTTGCTGTGGTCCACAAAGTCAAAGGCTTTTGCGTAGTCAATGAAGGAGAAGTGGGCCTTGTTGGACAGCCACTTTGCTTTCTTCCATTTCCTTTTCTTTAGGATGGTTTTTGTTGCTGCCTCCTGTACAATGTTACGAACCTTCATCCATAGTTCGTCAGGCACTCTGTCCACCAAATCTAGTTCCTTAAATCTGTTCTTCCACTGTGTATTCATAAGGGATTTGGTTTAGATTATACCTGACTAGTACAGTGGTTTTTCCTACTTTCTTCAGTTTAAACATGAGTTTTGCTATAAGAAGCTTATGATCAGAGCCACAATCAGCTCCAGGTCTTGCTTTTGCTGACTGTAAAGAGCGTCTCCATCTTTAGCTGCAGAGAATATAATCCATCTGAGTATTGACCATCTGGCGATGTCCACGTGTAGAGTCGCCTCATGTGTTGTTGGAAAAAAGTGTTTGTGATAACCAGCTTGTTCTCTTGACAAAACTCTATTAGCCGTTGTCCTGCTTCGTTTTGAACTCCAAACCCAAACTTACCTGTAGTTCCTTTTATCTCTTGACTCCCTACTTTAGCATTTCAATCCCCTATAATGAGAAAAACGTCTTTCTTTAGTGTCAGTTCTAGAAGGTGTTGTAAGTCTTCATAGAATGGATCAGTTTCAACCTCTTCAGCAGTGGTGGCTGGTGCATAAACTTGGATTACTGTGATGTTGAAAGGTCTGCCTTGGATTCGTATTGAAAGCATTCTATCATTTTTGACATTCTATACCAGTACAGCTTTTCCCACTCTTTTGTTCACTTTGAAGGCTACTCCATTTCTTCTACAGGATTCTTGCCCAAAGTAGTAGATAAGAAATATTCTGAATTGAATTCACCCATTCCCATCCATTTTAGTTCACTCACGCCCAGGATGTCAATGTTTATTCTTGCCATCTCCTGTTTGAGCACCTCCAGCTTACCAAGGTTCATAGATCTCACATTCCAGGTTCCTATGCAGGATTTTTTTTTTCTTTGCAGCATCAGAGTTTCCTTTCACTTCCAGGCACGTCCACAGCTCAGCGTCTTTCGGCTTTGGCCAAACCACTTCATTAGCTCTGGAGCTACGTATACCTGTCCTCTGCTCTTTCTCAGTAGCATGTTGGATGCCTTCCGGCCTGAGGGGCTCATCTTCCAGTGTCATATCTTTTAGCCTTTTGTTTCTGTCCACTGAGTTTTCTTGGCAAAGATACTGAAGTGGCTTGCCAATTCCTGTTCCAGGTGGATTGCATTGAGTCAGAACTCTCCCCTATGACCTGTCCATCTTGGGCGTCCCTGCACAGCATAGCCCATAGCTTCTCTGAATTACTCAAGTCCCTTCACCACGACAACACAGCAATCCATGAAGGGGTGTTTTCATTATACAGTACTTTCTTTGCATTAAATTATTGCTTATACAAGAAAGCTTTTTCTTCTCTCCCTTCCTCCTTTGTGCATGTTGCAAAGTGCCCCTTGCATGAGAGTTTCAAACAATGCCCTTTCAACTGCTTGAAGCAATGGTTTTGGAAACATCCAATTACTAATCTCTTTGCATTGTTGAATTTACTCTATGAAAAATGTTTGCCATTGATGATTATACTATTGTTAGAAAGCAATTCATTGGGGAAGAGATAAATTAGTTGCAAAATCTCAGTGATATATTAGACAAGTTTGTCTGCTGTCTAATCAGGAAATATTCACAACAATCCTGTTGCTTAGCATAGAAAGTTACACAGGAGTGAGAGGCTGAAATCCTGTTGCTTAGCATAGAAAATTACACAGGAGTGAGCCCATTGAATCAGTGGGAATTTGGTGAGTCAATGTTTCCTCAAGCTCAATGGGCCTACTCTAGTTGCAAGTTACTTTGGCATAGTCACAATAGACCCATTTGAATCAATAGAACTTGTGGAGTAATTGATTTACCAAACCTCACACTGGACCTACTCCAGTGTAAATATGCCAAACAACAGGATTTCAGTGATAGAATAAAAATAGTTGTCAACTCTGTACAGCAACTTAAGAATGAATTTTGTTTCAACAAATACAAAACATGTAGAGATGTTCACAACATACATTATTATAATTTTGCTGCTTATCAGATTTTTCTCTCTACATATCCTAATTTTATATTCTTGGATTTCTTATTGACCTTTTGGATTTGACCAAAAAAATTAACTGAAAAATTTACAAATGCCTTTGAATGACACAATGGATGATGAGGAAAGCATTGTCTAATGATACTATCTTTTTTTCATACTATTGTAAACTGCCCAGGTGACATATAATCCAACTAGATTTGTGATTGGTTTTGCAGGTTCTCGTAAAATGGAGTTTAAAGGAAATTGTTGGCATGAAACTTGCTTTGTTTGCCAACATTGTCGGCAACCTCTAGGAACAAAGCCTTTGATTACTCGGGATGACAACAATTACTGTGTGCCCTGTTTTGAGAAGCTATTTGCTCAGTATTGTTACTTCTGCAAAAAGGTAATATGACTGATGAAAAAGTTAAAGACAGGGTGTGATATGCATTACAATGGACTTACTGCCCTTAGAAAGATGAAACTTTGATGTAAACTTCATCCTTTGATAGTATTTCATTGTCAAGAGAGAAGGGAGGAAGAGGGAAATATTCAGATGCCCATTCAGAGTTGGAGGTGGGGCAGGGAAGCCCAAGCCCATCTCTGATCCCAAGTTAAAAGAGGAAAATGGTTTAGACCTGATTATGGCTGAATGTCAGAGCAGGTGCTTCTTTCTCTCCAGCAGCAACATGCTTTCAGCTGTAATTCTAGATTATCTGTCACCATCAGATAACACTTTAAGGTAAACTCTCTTACAACATTGTCCCTTCAGTCACACAAATCTTTCAGTACTGCCTGAGACATTGGACATGGAAACAAAGCCATGCTATGTTCCAAATGATTGATTACAAAATGAAAGCAATCTAATCTGTCTAACTGAGGCAAGTTTTGCTAGATTGAAGCAACCTCTGTTATAATAAACATACATACTTTTCCTCTTAAGGATGCAGTGCTTTTGGGCATCTTGTCCAGACAGTCCTTGTGACTGCCTCAAGCTACCTGCTCCTGACCCTCCCAGACACACACACACACCCAAGAAGTAAGCAGTATGTCAGTGTAGACTATCCTGACCATTACAACCAACACCATGTTCCAGGCTTCCAAGGAACTATGCATTCCCCTTACACATGCTCTTTTGTTCTTTTCCCTCCATACATATTCTTTAGCACACTAATACCATATGTGATCTGACTTTCAGAGAGTACAGTACCTTCAAGAAGGTTGAGAATGTCTTGGCAGAGTGTAGGGCAGGCTATCTAAGGGGCCACCTGGTTTGTTACAAAGATTTCTAGATCTGAAGAGCTTTAAGAAAGGCCTGCTCAATAGGCATATGGAAGACAACTTTTTCCCATTTGCTCTTAGAAATTGATGTTCTGGATAATCCACAATTAAAAGACACCTGCTTCTTGGGAGGAAAGTGATGACAAACCTCAATAGCATCTTAAAAAGCAGAGACATCACCTTGCCAACAAAAGTCCGAATAGTCAAAGCTATGGTTTTCCCTGTAGTGATGTACAGAAGTGAGAGCTGGATCATAAAGAAAGCTGACTGCTGAAGAATTGATGCTTTTGAATTGTGGTGTTGGAGGAGGCTCTTGAGAGTCCCCTGGGCTGCAAGGAGAACAAACCTATCCATTCTAAAGGAAATCAATCCTGAGTGCTCGCTGGAAGGACAGATCGTGAAGCTGAGGCTCCAATACTTTGGCCATCTCATGAGAAGATTCCCTGGAAAAGACGCTGATCTTGGGAAAGTGTGAAGGCAGGAGGAGAAGGGGACGACAGAGGATGAGATGGTTGGACAGTGTCATCGAAACAACCAACATGAATTTAACCCAACTCCAGGAGGCAGTGGAAGACAGGAGGGCCTGGCGTGCTCTGGTCCATGGGGTCACAAAGAGTCAGACATGACTAAACGACTAAACAACAACAATAATCCACAATTAGAGAGGAAAGCATGCTAGTGTTGGAGAGACATGATTCAGGTTGACTTTTGTGTTTCAAAGGAGTGTTTTTTTGTGTTTCAAATAAGTCCAGAAGACAATCAGAAAAGAAAGAAAGCTGTTTGGTAAAAATCAGCATAATCTAAAGAAAGGATCATTGATATGATTACAGAAGGTAAAGCTCATTTAAAAAGCCAGTTTTGTGAGCCAGTTGTCTTCATAGCCTTTTTTTTCTGGTGGAGGTCCTCTAGGAACTGTCCTTCCTTCAGCAGTGGCAGCCACTTCCCACACGTCCTTTCAAATGAACTTGCAAAACTTTTAATATTTGTTGCAATTATCTTCTTTATAAATTAACTGATCTCAATGGTCTGATGGTCAAATTTATTTTCATCTAGCTTGGTTTTATCCTGTTTTCTGATATTACTAAGCTTCCTTGATCATCTTCATTGTTTTGCTACAAACGCACCAAAGAGTAAACCCTAGTGAACAACAAAGGGACTTTAGAATAGAAATCCATCCATGCCATGACTTTCCAGTCAGCTTTTTGTTTATGCATATGTGTAAAAAGAATGACAGTTCTATACTCCTAGTGGAGAACAGTTTATTACGTGCTCTCTTTGTATAGCCAGCTCTTCCAGAGTACTTTGAGAGTTCTGGAATTGCTTAGAAGGTTTTTATTCCCCCCCCCCCCCATTTTGGATTTTGGTAGCAGGCCAACCTTCTGCACAAAAGTAGTACCTTTTAGGAGTAGGAATCATTTTGGTCGACTGATTTATCCATGCTTGGGGAACATGACCATTTACTAAGCAGTTATATATTCAAGGTGGCAACTTCCTACTTTGTAAGGTGATTACCTATATCATCGATGTTGATAATTTGCCATACCTTCGATCCATTTATCAGGTATCTGATTAGAAATCTCCAGTAACATCTAGTTCTGGAATAACAAGTACATTTTTTGGAATTCTTTGTGAAAGAGGGCATTTCTGCTTTCATAGACTGCTAACTGGTTGCAGATTCCACCTCAGTCCTGTGTCCTGCGAAAAGGTAAAATACCCTCAGGTTCGTCCCAGTCACTCCACTGAAAAAGCAACCCACCTGCATTTTGCACACATAAACCCTGGCCAGGAGAATCGATGTATAGTCTTTGTTTTGTGCACATCTGGATGGGGAGCCATCCCAACACTTTTCACTTGGATGTCAGTCCTGTGTCCTGCTAAAAGGTAAAATGCCCTCAGGTTCATCCCAGTCACTCCACTGAAAAAGCAACCCACCTGCATTTTGCACACATAAACCCTGGAGAATCGATGTACAGTCCTTGTTTTGTCCACACCTGGATGGGGAGCCATCCCAACACTTTCCACTTGGATGTACTAGATCTTTTGCTTCTGCACTATAAATAATTAGCTGAGGGTGGAATTAGCTAAACAAGGAATGTGACTTCGGGTTTCAGCTGAAAATCCCTTTGAGGCATCCAAAATCAGTGTTGGAACATAGGACCTTCCGCCTGATAAACTGTGCATGTATCATTCTCTCAGGGTTTGTCACCTGGCTATTCATCCTATTTGCTTCTCCTTTTAGGTGATAACCGGCGGTGGCGTGACGTATCATGACCAGCCATGGCACAAAGAATGCTTCCTTTGTAGCGGATGTGGCGAGCAACTTGCAGGGCAGCGGTTTATTTCCAAAGACGAACACCCTTACTGTCTTGAATGCTTTGGCAGACATTATGCAAAGAAGTGTGTGGTCTGTGCCAAACCCATTACAGGTGACTGTCTTTCCTTCCTTCCTTCCTTCCTTCCTTCCTTCCTTCCTTCCTTCCTTTAGCTAGCTAGCTAAGACACTGCTGCTTCTGTGTTGACAGTTACAGAACAAACAGCCCTACTGTGACCCTTGCTGACCTTTGATGCCCATACCGCTGGCACAGCTGCCATTTGTGGACTGGGATTTTAAAAATACCTACAACAATTGGGAGAGCATTGTTATTGCTTTAGGATGTTATACTGTATATGATCAGGAAAAAGTGGCATAGATCTTTGATAAATACATTAACTTATCCAAAACAACAACAACACCAACAATAACAGAAATTCTCTGTTATATGCTGTGCCAGTGACATTCCAAAGTGTAGAAAATATAGCTTACAACTCTGGAGAATACCCCAATCGGCATAACAAATTCAAGGAAGTAGCGTTTTCAGCTTATGTCGTGGTCAACAATTGGGTTCCGGAGTGGAGAAACACAGGGCATGTTAACATGGACAAAGTTGCATTACCTGTTATGAAGGGTGAGAAGGAGACAGACAGCTGCCTTTCTGAATGATACGCAAGAGGGGCCATCAAAACATCAGAAAGATCCTAGCAGAGTGACACTTAGGCTTCTGCTTCAGGCAGCAGAGAAGCTGGAGAGCAGGAAACTGGGATGAGGTATTGGTAGAACAAGCAGAGATGTGCGTGCCACTTGGCCTGGCCTGCAGCCTTTCAGGTATTCTGCCCCCTACTGGTACGGTGGAGTGTTTTAGGTACTTGGCTGCGGAGCCAGAGGCTGTAAGCTCGATTTCCCACTGTGCACCCTTGACAGAGGTTGGGCTCGATGATCCACACAGGGTACCTTTCAGCTCTTCAGTGCTAAGATTATGGTGGTGATGACGAAAGTGTCTCATTTCTGATACTGTGGTAAGATTCCACCATCCATCCAGTCAGCTTCTGTACATGAGCTTGGTATGAAAAAGGAAAACAGTTATCAGCTTGTCCTTTGCTTCAAATGGCAAAATATCTGAGGCCAGCCATGCCTGCTGGATTTGACCAAAGGCCTTAGCTAGTTCTGCATCCTGTTTTTCACAGTGGCCAACATATGCTGATAGGAGGACCATAGGCATAATACAAAAGCCCTTGTTTTTGAGCTAATCCTCTTCTCCAATTTGCTGCCTAGTCACTGGTATCCAGGTGCCTGATTTTAGAGAAAGTATACAGCCATCATTTGTGACTAGTAGTCAACAGCGACATTATTCACCATGAATAATCTCCTCTTTATCAGTTGTTCTTTGATTAGATGCTTAATCATGTTTTGAGGAAACAAAGTCCAGTTTAACTATGTACATAAGGAAGGGAAATGTGCTCCTTAATTATGCATGAGGAGGGGGAGTGTGCTACCTCTACCCATTCCATTGTTATTCTCCATGTGCGGAGATCCTTTGTAGAAGGATCTTCCACACATGAAACCTTCTTCCACACATGAAAGCTCTCTACGTGTTCAGGAACTCTCTGATAGCTTTCCAGCTTTGACACGGTAGCTCCAGGAACACATCTGCCATATCTCGAAACACACTTACACTGTTTCAGCAACGAAGCATGCCTTTTAGAAAAACTGAGTTTACATATACTGTATGCTTCAAATACACTTCAAGTAGGTAAACTAAAAGAATAAACTATCAAAGGAAACTCCGTTGATATAAAACAGAATTGTTGTTGTCGTTATATGTCATCAAGTCACTTCTGACATATGGAGACCCTATGAATGAGCCATCTCCAAAATGTCCTTTCCTCAAGCCTGTGGCTCCATCTCATATTTGGTCTTCCTATTTTCCTGCTGCCTTCCACCTTTCTCACTATTATTGTCTTTTCCAGAGAATCCTCCCTACTTATGATGTGCCCAAAGTAGGACAGCCTCAGCTTCAACATTTTTGCCTCCAGAGATAGCTCAGGCTTGATTTCATCTAGGACCCACTTGTTCACCTTTCTGGCAACCCAGAGTATCCCCAAAGCTCTCCTCCAGTACCACATTTCAAATGAATAATTTTTTCCTGTCAGCTTTCTTTACTATACCTCTTTCACATCCATCCATAGTATTCAGAAATACAAAATAATGTAATACTGCAGCCTTTTTAATATGATTTGTATTTCTACTCATATATATTCAATCTATGAGTCACCTGATAAAAGTTATGTGATAATTGCACTTCCAGCAAAGAGACATACATATTCAAGCAAAGTCTTATTTTAGAATTTTGACAGAAGAGTGTTACATTATTTTCAGCAGAATATATTAACCAAATTTAGCCCTAAACCCTTTCAAAGACTGACACAATTTCTAATGATTCAGTATCATATCCAGCCCTACCCTCAGATTTAACCAGCTCACAAGAAACTGTGATGATAAAATAAAGGGAAAGCTATTTATAAGTGCCGCTGACCTGGCCCTTTTGGTGTGAACAAGTGTAGCCTAAATAGGGTTGCTTGACATCAGGAGCAGGAGCAAAATGTCAACTCATTTGGTGCAATCTTAATATCCAAATGGCATACCAACCCTAAGCAATCCTATTTCTGAAATAGTGAAGTGGCTAAGCAAGTCACTTCAGAATATTGGCAAACTGAACACTTCCCTTGCTCCTCTGTGGAGGGGCAGGGGAAGTGAATTTTTTTTCGCCTCTGCTAGACCATCGTTAGTGCACTGAATCATTTAGATTTTTAAAAAAATAATTTTAAAAATAATGTATAGTGCCAATCAAGAAACTGCCCCCAGCCACAGTTTCAATCTGCACTTCACACAAATGCAAAGAATTTAAAAAATTGATATAAGTAATGAAGTGCATCAGGGATGATCTAGCAGAGGCAAAAAATGAATAAATAAAACAAAAAAACAGCAACACACTTCCCTTATCCCTCTGCAAAGAAACAGAGGAATTATACAATTTTCTGATATCCTGAGGTAGCTTGTTTATTAAGCCACTTCATGATACCAGAATTTGACAGGAGCCTTGGAAGCTTTGACAGCTGTGAGGCTCACTTTTGATCCATTCCCAGCAATCACATACACTGGGAACAGACCAAACTAGAGCACTCAATCCCACAGAGGAAGAGAGAGAGAGAGAGTAGAAACTCCTGAGAAGGTTCAAAAAGGTGAGAGTAGGGGTGCTATGGGGGCAAACTGGTCTACTCTAGTGCATATGTTGTGTGATTGCTGGAAAAAAAGAGCAGTCTACTCCGGCAGTACACCAAACAGTGAGACAAATGCCCATTAGCCCTATGCGATATTGAATCCCTTAATGCAGCACTGGAAATCTAAATACAATTGCAATACGTACCACCATGTTCCCTATGCTAAGGTGTGTGTGTTGTCAAGTTGCCTCAGACTTAGTTTAACCCTAATAGGGTTTTCACCATATGAGAGACATTTAAGGTGTGGCTTTACCAGCACCACCGACAAAATGGCCAAATAGGGATATATAAACCTTGGTCTCCCGAGTCACGATCCATAGTGCTATTCAGTACAGTACACACTCTGACTCTTCATCTAGATTGACCACTTTATAAGTGGGCATCTCCTGGCTTGCCCTTCAAAGTTACAATTTTCAGATTGTCCAAAAGTTGGCATTGGATATACACAAATACATGTTTTAGTACTAGAATGGTACAAATGTAAAATATGGCTCGTCAAAGTTCTTGGGAAAACAGAACTTAGCACAGGGAACATGCTGGTATTGCAATTATATTTGATCACAAGAGGATTGTCGTCTGTTTTCCCATGTGATCACACACTCAGTTATCCAAAGTCATCCTATTTGCATCCTGCCCAACACACACACACAGACACACACTGTTATAGAGTAAACTAATCACAGTTGGAATGTTTAAAAGAGAGCCATGTAGAGTTCAAACATTTCCCATGCATGCGATCTACGGAATCCCTCCACTGCAGAGTCCTGTAGTACTCTTGCCTTGGGGGCAGGGAAACTGCTGTGTCCTCACTGGGAGGAAAGAGAGAGATATATATAGAAGACATTTTGTCTGTGTCATGCTGGAAACATTTGGTATCGCTCTGCAGCCTTAATCTTCCCAAAGATGAAGAACAGATCTTGCATCGATAGGAGGAGGGAGAAAACCTGCTTTCAGTATTTGTATTTAAATGACTTGTTATTAAATGTCTGGCAAATGCTCAAAGGCTGTTTAAAAGCACTTTAAGACCTTTAGCTGGATCTCTTGAAAAATAAATTGAATGACCTCTTGCCTCAGTGCTGGAGAATAAGGTTGCCACTTAATTACCAATCCTGGCATTCAAAGAAAGAAACAGTGAAAACTGGGAAATTCAATCAGCTGCGATGACCCAGTCCTGTCCTTTCTTTCACACATCCAGCAGACACTGGACTTTTATGAACATTGAAAGTTAACTTTAAGCCATTGTGCATGACTCTTCCTCAGATTTATATAAATATTTTTTTCAGAATATTTTAAATTAACATATTTATTTTAGATTTATAACCCACATTGGGGACAAGTGGCACCATCTACCACCCATGAGCCATGGGTGCAAAGCCCCATGAACAAGGATGAAAATAATGTGGTGTCTACCTATCTTGAGGAGAGAACGTTTATGGTTTCAGAGCGGGGGGGGGGAAGGAATGTAAATAGGGTCAGGAAGTGTTGCCATGTATTTTCCTTACACTCACTACTAGAGTCACCTCTAGATTTTGGTGCCCTCCAAATCCGGTGCCCTGAGACAAAGCCCAAGTTATTCCACCCCAGTTACAGCTCTGTCTAAGACAATAAACATGTGGGACATTCTACACCCATGAAATCCATGACTTAGCTGCATATCACAGGCTTTGTAATGTGGACAGAACACCAACTTGAATAGAATTTTGTCTCAGCAAGAGGAAACGTCATTGGTTCATTTATCTTCAGTGTTGAAATTCATGTAGAGGGTCCTCCCTTCCCCAGGAATAAAGAGACAAGGGTTTTGCTTATTAGAGCATGAGCTAAATGCTTTTAAGATCATGCACGCACACAAAGAGGCAATTTCACTTTTTTTCTCCCGCTTTCTCTTCCCAGCTCTTGGTGGAGCCAAATATATCTCATTCGAGGATCGCCAGTGGCACAGCGACTGCTTTAAGTGTGGGAAGTGTTCCAGCTCCCTGGTGGGAAAGGGGTTCCTGACCCACGGAGATGAGACCCTCTGCTGCAAGTGTGGCAGTGCCATATAACTAAGCAGGCATGTGGACTTCCTCTGCATTTTCACTATAAACAACATGGCTTGACTGTCAGAAATCTATCCAAGAAATATAAGAATTGTTTACTTATGCAGACCACTTTCTGATACAGCATTTCCATTGTAAGCATCGACACCCCCTTGCCTTCTCATTAGCAATTTTAAACAGCATCGGTTCTGTCAGAAAACCAGCTTCAAATATGTATTCACATGGGGGGAAAATGTGTTTTTTAAAATTTTTATTTTCTTTGTAGTAGAGTGCACCCTACTGTTGGGAATAGGAGTAGGTACAGTCTGCAATACAGATCTATTCTGTGCTTACATCCTAATAAAGAGAGATTATAGGACCACTTTGTTGAAGAAACCAGAATGATACTTCTCCTGCAGCACAAAGCTGATTGTATCATGTCAATATCTATGCCCATTTTGTACCTACAAATCAGCGGTACGCGTGGGCAAGGAAGAAAACAAAAGAGCCAAATAGCACAGTGTGTGCTGTAGAACAAAAGGCAGAGGGGAGGCCTGCGTTCTGCTACCTCTAGAGGTGTCTTTCCATATTAAATTGCAGAATCAAACCATAAAAACAAGTCCTAAGGGGGATGTAACATAGGAGCTCTGTAGCTGTGGTGCTCAATGGCATATTTCTTTCAAAAGAAAAGCCAGGAGATAGGCTGTTGAAGGTCCTCATTTGGGTTGGGAATAAGAGAGTTTTAATATACACTGGATAGCTCAGTGAGTTAAGTATCTGACTGTGGAGTGAAAGGTTGGGAGTTTCAGTTTCCCACCGTGTTTCCCCAAAGAGCCAGCCTCTGTGGCCTTGGGCCAGCTGCACAGTCCCAAAAGGGCCCCCGGAAGAAGGGAATGGAAAACCCAAGTGCTCTCTAACTAGAAAGCCCTAAAAAAAGATTGCCATAAGTTAGAACTGACTTAATAGCATACAGTAGTTATTAATGAGCGTGCGCACAAGCTATTGGCTGGATTAAGTGGAGAACACTGTGCCTATATATATATATATTCCCCTGTAGACGGTGAGGTAAGTAAAGGTATTTCACATCAGGAAATCAGGTGAGAGAAAAGAGTTCAGCCAGAACTTGGAGAAGGTATGTTTTTGGACTACAACACCATGAATCTTGTAGCTAATAATGGACAATTTGGGAACTGGTTGAGGGTTTCAAAGAACAGCTAGTTTGGTTTCCGATAAAACAGTGGGGCTGACCTCTTTTTAGGTCCTCTAATCCTGAAGTCACTGATGTGGGAGTGAACCCCATGAATGCACTGGGCCTTACTCAGTGGAGTAACGGAGCCAGAGCTCACAGGATTAAGTTTTAGGATTTTCTGAGGATTAAGTTTTAGGATTTTGCATCATCCACGTCCTACTCAGAGGTTCCCTCTGAGTTTACCTGCAATAGCAAGAAGAAAAGTGGATTGCCCCAGACACAGCATATTGTTACATACTGTTTCTGTTGCAATGCGAAGCATTTGAGGATGGTTTGATCTTAAAGGGCTATTAAGAGCTATTCATCCAGCTATCATTAGTTCACATGGACCGATCCAGCTGCTCAAATAGCTGCTTATTATTTTACTTTTACTTTTTTAAAAAATCAGTTTGCTAAGAGAATGACATAGAAGTTGAAAAATGATAACTGCTTCCAAAAATCTTCTAGAAGGCTCTAGTAAACATTGCTCATTACACCAACAAAATGAATGAATTAATTAGGTACTTCTGAAATGTAATTTTATTACTTCCTGTTGCCCCCAAAAGTAATGAACTGAATATAATTATATTATTTGTAAGTTGTTACTTTCGGGGTCTGGTTGTACTCATTCTGTCTTGTGCATCATTTGTTAACCAGCGGTAGTTAAGCCAAAACAAATAAATTAGTACCCAGTAGCTTATAGTTGTTCTCCAGAGAAAATAACTGGATTCTCTAGATGTCTAGATTATCATTGTCATGGTTTCCATTTCCATTTTGCTTTTGAATGCTCCTATTGCAAATGCCTAATTTTATTCCTTATTTCTCCCCACAAAGGATGACAAAGGACTAAAATTTCACAGTTAGTGCTACTGCCTCAGTGTATGAGATTCATGCATAAATTTATCAACACTATTCTTTTCCTGCTTATAGCAAAAATGTGACACAGTCCATATCTATTCCATCACACTCCACTTTCAAACCATCCTATCTTTTAGTTACTTGTCTCTTCCTCCAGACATTAGCTTTCTTTTCTCACATAATTTCTTCCCTTTGCAAGGCTTCAGTTATCAAAAATAAAACGAGGTTGCAAAGCCTAAAAATAAAAATCACAGAGACAACTGTGCAGAATAATTTATGAGAAGTGAACACACAGGTAAAAGCCAGATGGTTTGCAATGTAGGACCTAAAAATAAAAATTACAGTTCACCTATAATAATTGTTTTTGCATCACATTTTACCTCAACCTCAAAAAAGAAAAGATGAAAAGAAAAGTAAAGCCATAGCTTTGTAAAAGGTCTCTGAAAAAGCAAAGTGTGCTCCTTATATACCACCCTATAGTACTTAAAGCATTCTCTGGCAGTTTTGTGAGCTGGGTACTCAATTCACCAGCCTCAGAAGGATGGGAGGCTGAGAGAACCTTGAGCTGGCTACCTAAGTCTGTCATGATCTAACTCAGGTCATGAGCAGAGTGTTGACTGCAGGATTGCAGTTTAACCACTACACCGTAAGAAAATACATACAGTCATTTGTATATGCAGTATCTCACATATTGTAAAAAGTTATTCAGTTAAGAACCAAACTCATGGATTTCTTTCTGGATGACAAAACATAAAGACATAAATATACAGTATTTGTGAAAATAAAGACCGAAGGGACAGTGTTAAACCCAAGCTTCAAAGCTGCAGTACGGATGTTTTCCTACCCAACCCCCATCTCCATCTTCTTAGGGGATTGAGTTTCAGGGAAAGATCTAAAGCTGTTCTGAAGCCCCACAGTCTAAAGGAGCCAGCACCATCGGCCAGATACAGCCTGCCGGTCAAAGGTATCCCCTTCTTCTCATATGGAATAACTGCATCCTAGATAAAAAAATCTTTACTGAAGCTTCTCTTTATGCCAACATGAACAGATCATTGTCAGGATTGGCCCTATCATTCGGCAAAGTGAGGCAGCTATCTCAGGCTGCAGATGTTGGCTGCAGATGTTGGTAGTATTTGCCCAGTAGGAAGTCTTCCCAAGTCCCAGGTCCTTCCTTGTCTTGAATGACAAAATTGTTTGTGTGCTCTTTGCCATGTACAGTAAGCTGTCCTGTTGCCTTCAGTTGTAGCAAACAACCCTTCACCATTGTCTGTATGGAACTGAGGTTCAGAGGTGGATTCAGAACGAAGGGGTGTCATCTCCTGTGCTTCAGGGAGCCCAGTGGCTTGGGTCAGCTGTGATTCGGGAGCTTTTAGCAGCCTCTGCTGCCAAGCACAGCTGCTGAAATGCAACATTCATTTCAATGTGCATTGCCTTGCACCCAAAACAAATAAGGTCAGCTTTAAAAGGATATCTTCCCCTCCTCCCCAACCAAATAAGTGCTTATGAACTTGTATTAGCTGGCCGGTCATCTAAAAGGAGCATGAGATCAGCGACACAATAGCAGCGCACTAGTGCTAAGCTCTACAAAAACGAACACACTGCTGCATATACAGTAAATTGGCCCAAGATGCAGAATTCTTCTTTCAAGCAGTATCAGATTCACTTTGCCGCCCACTAGGTGGCATAGCATTGCTGCAGGCAGGCTTGCTTGATAATCCGATTTCATCTGTGTTGTACCAAAAGAAAGCTGATAGGAAAAAGAAAATTAACTTTGTAGAGGAATAAATAGGCACAGCGTTGACTGCTAATATTGATTTATGTCAGCTGCAGACTTGGTCGGATGATGTTATTAAAAATTTCCAGCCAGCACACTTCAATATTGTGCAATTTAACACTGAGCTTGAATAGCACCCCCCCACACACACAATGCATAGGCTGTCAAGGGAGCAAGACAGGCTACTATGGAGACGGAGACACAGAACTTTTAAAAGGAAATATAATTCAATCACTCTGCACACACCATCATTGGCATGGCTATTTAAAATGGGTGCCCTGCCCAAATCGCACAGATGCTTCCCATAATAACAGTAATAGCTGCAAACCTAATGGGCAGGAGACCCTGAGGCAGGAACACTCACTAGGCTTCCTTGATTGGACAATAAACAGAGTATACTCCGCGGGGAAATGCAGACAAGAACAGCAAACTCCCCTCAACCCAGCTCCACAGGCCACCCCTGTTCATAGGGAGACTTACTGCTTTCAAGATAATATAGGCCTTTTCCATTTATGTGAGCTATTTTAAATCTGGGGCATCTTGGGGTTCCCTATTTCTGAATGAGGGGTAAAACAGTTTTACATTTTGAAAATGGTAAGACAAAAACCCTTTGTTCAAACTTTCCCAAACTAGGCACAGAGCAAGGGCAGTCCGTCTGCTACAAGTGTGCCAAACATGGCGCTGATCTAAAGCCCGGTTTAAAAGTTATAATTTTTGGTTTGGGCTGCCCCATTTTAAGAATCGCCTTATCGAATGTTGATTTGCTCTGCTGCACAGCATCACAGCTGCACTCGGCTATAATTCCTCGAACCTAAAAAGAAAACCAGTCTGCTCAGCATCCTCTTAGAGGGTCTTAACAGAAAAGAAAACTTTTCAAAAAATGGTTTTGATGCACATTTCTTGTGTAGGAAAAGGTCAGCATAAATCTGTCATCTGTGGTTATCCGGAGACTTCTGCCTGCAAAACGTGAACCATCTGCTGCTTATTTGTGATCTCAAGTCAGCTGAGATGCAACACTGTCCATGCACATCTTAAGCTTATTTGTTTTTACTCAGGAAAAGAAAAGATTTAATGACTGCAGTTCAATTGCAGCTTTTTGTTTTCAGAAATTATTAGTGAAATTGGCAAAAAAGAACCGTGTCATAGATATCAGTGAATACTGCATGATGCAGTACTTCTCTCTCTCTCTCTCTCTCTCTGTCCAATGTGGCACTCAGTTTTTTATTCCTAAATTTTTATTCCAAAAGCAAATTCATAACATGCAAAGCAAGTTCAAATTTGGACAGAACTGGGACAACATCTGAAAGACTTTTGCAAGAAAGCAACAGAGCTAAAATGAATTCTGTTCCATCAAAGCCCAAGCTGCCACAGAGTGAGTCAGAGAACAGCCTAACAGAATCTGGAATACGATGTCCTTTTGAACATGCGGTTGATGAAGGGGAAACAAGTTTATTAAGTGACTTTCTATGGCCCTGGCATTGGAAGAAGGGTTTGGTAACTGCTGCTCTAAATAACAGAAGGTTATATTGAAGTTACTAATAGTCTTTCCTGCTTACTAATAGTCTTTACTGATGGCTTTTAGACCATAAATGGCAACTGTCTATTCACTGAACACTCCTTCCTGAAGAGTAGTAACAAATCTGTTTTATACAGATTTTGTGGTAGGTTAGCACATACGTTCATACTTAAACAACGGGAGAGATATTTATGCCGTTGCCAGCCACAGATTTTTTACTTTTTCACTGTGATAGCCCTCAAGGATACTTGGCTATTTTCTACTGCTGCTTGTTTTTGTGTTTGCTTTTGTTCTTAAATCCTGCAGCAGTTCCCTTTAGAGATAGTCATCCTTCTCTCCTTGGCCTAGTTTGCCCTCCTTTGCCTGCTATGCTTTATAGCAGAAATATGGCTAAGCACAGTAGGCATGTTGTTATTTCAGTATTGCTCAGCTCCACTTGCTGTAAAGTGTTTTTACAGCAGCAAAAAAGCAATAAAAATATAAACACCTTTTTTGTATGTTTTGTTTCTATAAATCAGAAATATGGAACATGTGGTCCTGCACATGTTCTTGAAACACAAGTCCCATCCTACTCCTTGTTTGCTAAGGCTAATGGGAGTTACAGTCCAATGACATCTGCAGGGGGACACGTTCTCTAACCTCAACATAACACCTCCCCAACACAGAGATTTTCATATCTTGCGAAATGTATGCACTGATCCCCAGATAAGATGAAACACGTTTTATCATAACAGACATGTCCAAAACAATAACAATCAATGGTTAACATTACCACAGAGTTTTTCAAATTCAAATGAATAATTATGAACCATCAAGATAATTCTAACTTAGGTAGATATGTTCCTCACTGAAGTTGAAGGGGCAAACTAATTTCCCTATTTTTTTTAATCTCATCAAATATTCTTGGCTGTCTTTGTTATCAAGAAACATCCCACCATTTGTGACAGAATACTCACCCTCTGAATTCCCAATTGTATAACAAAAGCAATA